ATTAAGTGATGTTAGAAACAGTTGGAGGGGTTAGGTTTGTTTTTTAAAATAAGTACATCGCTTTTAATTCCATTTATATATACACTTTTTTCCTCACATGAATATTTAGGAAATTTTAATTTCTCTACACTTCAGGTTCCTGGCATTATTGTAAGTGACTGCATCCAAACAGTTATTGTTTAAATGTACTCAACCATTTTAAGACAAGGCTGGTCATGTCCTATAGCTACCTCTTAAAAATCAGCTAAATAATCATCCTTGAAAAAAGTGTAAGAATTACCTGATTTGTTTTTTATTGTTTCCTGACAGTCCCTTAACCCATATCACCAGTCAAGAAGATAGAGGATTTTGCAGAATAAGAGTGATACATGAATATTTTAAATCAAGCCCAAAAAGTTCAAAAGTTTATTTCAATATTCTCACCATAAGAAACAAATTCCTAGCTGCTAAGACATCTCTCACTTTTCCACTAACATTTGAGAGAAAAAAGGCATACCACTTAACTTTAAAATTTAATTTTCAATAGTCTTTCAGGGAAAATTTTGCCATAAATATTTCCCAATGCATAATCTACAAGTTTGTGCATGTTATTTATTCAAACAATTCTTCAATTGTTCTAGATGCCTTGCATCTGTATCCTGTAGAATTAATACAGTGGCTTTAGACTGAAAAAGGAATCAACTCTATAGTCATCAGAGACCTATCAGTCATCCTTGACATTTCTCTAAACCATGCTTAAGCTTTGGATGTGAAATGGTATCTTTTTCAACATATTCATTTCAGGCAGTGAAAATCCAATTACACTTGTTCGAACATCATCAGCAAAATCTACTTTGAGATAAACTGAACCATCAGAAATTTTTGTGTTTATACCCCTGGACTCATTGCTGTTTGTGAGGTTTCTATTAAGACTTAAAATAAAACATCTAACTTTCAGAATTAGAAATTATTCTCTCATTTCATTAGCACTGTGAAGAGCACAAGTGAGAAGCCTTATTTACAATATAAACAGGCTGACGTCTGTATTTGTATCATAGAGGTGATTTTTACACTTTAACCACGTTAAAGCTTTGGAACTGATAACAGAAGGCTAGCCAGATCTATCAATGTTATCTAGAGACCCAGTCCAGGATTTGGCTATAATAGCACCAAATTTTGGTGGTCATTGTCTCAAGAACATCAGTGGTTAATATGCTCTAAGTTCTTGATAGTTTTGGAAGCATCTATGCACATTTAAATTGTATAACTTCACTTGGAACCTATTTATCCCCTAAAGGGGGATGACCAAGGAACTCAACCTCCCTACAGAATTACACCAAAGAAAAAATACTATAAGAAAAGTAAAAAAACCACAAGGTTTTTGTCTTCTGACATTATAACCCGCAGCTAATAAAAAAATACCCTGCCTTTAAGTTTGCCCCAAAACTCTACCACTTGGAAAAAACGGTATAGTTACTTACAGGAAATAACCCATTTGTTTACTCATTTCGATAAGTTTCTCATGTCGTCCATGCAGTCCTTAGCCTGTCACCAGCTTGGCGCTTCTACCCTGTGCCAAGACCCCCGGGGGCGGTAAGGCCAGCTGTCACCCCACATCCCGGCGGACACCGACTAGCTGCAGTGGATAGCGATGGATGCTAAGACAAGGTGGCCCGCCCCACCAGTCACATTAAGGACGACACATGCCTCCTTACTCCTCAAACAGGCTGACCAGAACCCAAGCCCCTTTCCCCACACCCTACCCTCAGCCGAACCACCCCATACACTTGTCTGAGGCAGGGGCGATGCCGAACGAGCGGGCGGGCAGAACCAGCGAGGCAGCCTGCTTCCCCTCACCTGAGTTGTAGGTGGGAAGAAAGACGAGAATACACCTACCCTCTGTACACAACCCCAAAATCACCGCGCAACTCAACAGCCAATAGGAGGCGTGGCGCCACGCGCGGCTTTAAGCATCGCAAGAACACTGCCCCGCCTCCTCCAGTACTAAGGAACAAGCACAAGACGGACTTTTCACGGACGCCATTTTTTTCAAAAAAACCTCAGCGGTCGCTCTCCTTCTCTGCCTTCTATTGTCTCCACTGTTCTTGCCGCACTTCTCGTGGCCCCCGTCAAGCAGGTAAAACAAACAACCCAGGCACACTGCAGCGGTGTAGGGTGGATAGTGCTCTTCTTCTCGTGATTACTTAGGCCTTTCTCTCCGTGGTCCACACGGAGGGCGGGGCGAACTAGAGGCCATCCCTGCCCTGATGGGCAGCTGCCTTACCCAACGGGGCCGCAGTGGGTCTCCCACAGCGGGAGGAGACGAGGTGGTTGGGCTAGTCATTTGGCGGTGCTGGTGGATGTGTGTTGGTAGTAGGAGTTGTTCGCCTTTCTCTCCTGTACGGGGTGCGTGCAGGTAAGCGCGGTTCAGAGGGGGTGTTGCTTGCACTGGGGGTGGGGTAGGGGGGAATGGGTTAAGCCGGCTTGAAGGAAACTAAGCTGTTGATCGAACCCCTCCCAACCCTGTTGTGTGACACAAAAACACGGGCGGCCTGTCGCCGCCGGGCCCCAGGATTTTCTTGGACTCTTGCAGAGACTGCGCTGGGCGGCGGAATTGAGTAGGTCTAGGAACTGCTGCGTGGAGAAGGAGGGGGCCGGGAGTATGACTCCTTAGCTAATGTGGAGTGGTTTTGTGTAACCTGCGGACCCAAGGGTCTCCCTCTACCCTAAGGGAAGGGTGTAAAGGATGATTTGTGTCTCACCCGTCGCGCTTCGGTGGCCTTAGTGCGAGCACGGCGGCCTAACTGGTGCCGTTCCCGGAGTGGCGATGTGGTGGAGGCTGGTCGCACTAGCGGGTGCGTACTAAGGCTGGGGGGGGGGGGGAGGGGGGCGGTCGCCGCCCTTTTCTGGCACCTGCCTAGGGTAGCTGTGGATGGGGTGAGTTTTTGGTAATTATGGTGGGTAGAGAGGAAGATGAGGGCACTCTGCTGCGGCCTGTGCGGAAGCAGCCGTGTCAAAACGATTGGGGAGCGTTCTGCAGCAGAGCCTGCTTTTAGGGGCCATGCCAGAGTTCTCGTGGCAGGGCTGTTGCGCTCTGTCGGCTCTGCTTGAGCTGGGGTGAGGGCTTCTGAGTGCCTCCTTTGTGTCTCTCTGGTTGGAGTGGGGGAAATCTTGTGACCGCGTGGTGGTCGTTTTTCGGCTCACGGCTCCGCCTAGCAGTGGGTAGGCGCTATCACAGTGGCCGCCATTTCTGCTGGTCCCTGCCACCGCGGAGGTGGGTCTCGGGCTGTGGGGTTATGTAACGGCGCCTTTCCCCCTCCCACCTAGGGCGCGAGCTGGGATTTCGAGCGCTCGGCGGCTGGCTGGTTTTAAAAGCTGTGCGAGGGGTAAAGGTGAACATTAGCCTGAGCAGATTGGCGCGTGGGCTGTGGAAAGGGAGGCTTTCGGGCGGGAAGGGCCCTTAGTCCCGGAGGGAGCGGGGGAGAGACACACCGGCATCTCCCAACCCTCTACTCATGTCCGTGACTGCTTTGTTCTTTAGATGTTTTTAAAAATTTTGCGTTAGCGAATTTAATCCTGCAAACTCGATCTGCACAAAAGAGCACAGCAACTAGTCGAGAGCATCTTGTCCTGAACAGTATATTACATTTCTTCCCCCGGCAGGTCTAAAATTTTTGGGAGGGTCGTAAATAGAATGGGGTCTGGAAGGGTTAACCATTTGAACCTGGTGAAATTTATCTTCCTGCCCCCATCCCTGCGTTCTAACGGCGTCTGTTTCGACACTTGGCTATTCTTTAGGCGGTGCTTTTTCTAGAAGCTCAAATTAGGGGCCTGGAAATACTAGCATGTGCTGGGGAGGTGGTGTCTCAGCAGCGACTGTAAAAGAGTGCATACCTACCGGCAGTGCTTGCTGTTAGCCTGCAAAAATAGGGTAACTTACAAATTAACGGACAATAAAAAGGATGCTTTAAAAAATTAAACATACCTCACTTTTTCTTTGTAGATATGTATATTAACCATTTGTTCAGGCTGTGAAAGTTGACCAATAAAATTCAAAGGAAGGAAAATAACGTTCTTTGTTTGGCTGTATCTGTACAAATTAATTTTTTAATAAGGTGCAAAATTATTCTGCCTGACTTCTAATTTGTTTTACAAGTATCCTTAAGTCGTGGATTTAGCAAAAACAGATCTTGTAAGAGGTACCTGTTTCACAAAGTCAAAAAAGTTTGTCTGCTTTTGAGATTCTTCATACATGTATGCAGAGGTTATACATGATAGTGTGCTATTTTTAACAGAATTTTTCAAGTGTGGCTTGTGTGTAATGTTTTGTTCATCTGTTATATTGATGGAAGGCATGCTAGTAAGTGGATAGAAAACGTCTAATCGCCAACATTAATTTTATAACTTTTGATCTAAATTGTTGAGTCTAAATTTAGAACTAAACAATTAGCATATTGAAACATAGCATCTCCTAAAAAGGAAATTCAAGATATGGTATATAACATCCTAAAAGTAGGACCCAGATAATTATTCACTTTAAATATTTGAAAGTCATTGTCAATAAATGTGATTGCTTAAAACTAGCAAATGCTTGAAAATGAGCAAGGTTGAAATAATTCAGAGTGCAATTGTGTGTCTATAAACCTTTGTACTTGATTATTGTTTCTCCTCTTAGTGATGTGTTTGGTCTTGTTGTTTTTTCATTTATAAAGAAAACCTTTGCCGCAAAATCTCAGTTCAAACTTCATTTTCAGTTGTAGCAAGATTCAGACCTGTAAGTGAACAGAGCCTGATCTATGCTGTTTTCATAGGCTTCTGAAGCAGTAGGGTTTTGATCCTGCCCAGAACACTTGGGTTTGCTCTGCAAGTATATATAAACCTGGTAAACTCTAAAAGCAGGCATTTCTTCTTGCTTTTCCCATTAGTATGATGTACAATTAACCTTTTCCCCCACAAAATAATGTACTAGCTCTTTTTTATTCTGCAACAGATTTTATCTTCACTCCTAAGAATAAAAGGTAATGGAGACTGAACAACAGGAGGAAACCTTTACCAACACAGAGACAAATGGTAAATTTTTTTATAGGGCTATTTTATTTTGGGAGGAAGGAAACTTTTTGAGTCTTGATGTTTCTAACTGTTTTGAAATGCTTTAACTGTATCAAATGCTTCATTTAATCTTTTAATTTTTAAATGTCCCATGTGGTTTTATGTAAATTTTGTATCATGAATACGTAATTTTTCTTTGGGAGTATTTTAGTCATGGTATAAGTAACTAAAAGTTATAAGGAAAGATTTGAAAATATTTGATAGCTAAATGCTCAGTATTTGTATGGACAACGTGATCACGTAAAGATACTGTTAGGCATATCTGTTACTGTATTTAATTTATAGCAGTTGTTAGTTTGAGGGAATGTATATATATATGAAATATCTCTAAATATTAGCTAAATGAAAAACCTTTTGGACATAATTAGTGAAGAAGAGTTAGAGCATTAGTATTGATTCAGGCCATTTTTTTAAAGTGACTTTAAATACTGCTTTCCTACTGTTTCACCAGTATTTCAGTATTGCACAAGCTACTTTTAATCTTTTGTGCTTTAAGGTTTTCCCAGTTGTAAAAGAAATACTAAGTAGGTGATGCAGCACTGTTGCAAACAGTGTTATTTTTTCACAAAGTTTGAAAAATTTGCATTTCAGCTGTAGTTTATAGATTTGAATAAGTCTTCACTTATTAATTGATATGTAGACTGATGAAGTAAAAACCTGTTTCTGTCCTATAGGTGCTCAGGGTAGATGTCAGAAGTTAGCATTGGGCTAATGGGAGGGAATGCTTCACTAGGAATTCAGTGCACAACTTGATATACAGTTTTATCATGACTTAGAAAGTTAAATATACATTTGTGTTTTCCCCCTATGGACCTGTCTACAGGCAAACGTCCTGCAGAAGATATGGAAGAAGAACAGGCCTTCAAAAGGTCTCGGAATACAGATGAAATGGTTGAATTGCGCATTTTGCTTCAAAGCAAAGTATGCTCTTAGTATTGCTATGTTCCTGCTTATACCATTGCTTAAGACAGTGGTGACAGTGTATGTTTAGAAAGAACTTGTGCTTTATTTAAAATTTATTTAGAAATACTTGTGTGCATGAATGACAGTAGAAGTGTATTGCGATCTTCAATAATTTTTTTCAAGGGTGAGTCTAACAATCTATGGGACTTCTTTGATTTTAAAAAAATGTACTTATTGAAAAAATAAAGACATAGAAATGATAAGCCGCTTCTCATGCTTGAATAGAACATAATTGTTTCCAAGGGAATGACTATGTATTAGTCTTTAGAAAGCAAGCAGTTTAGAAAATGATCAGCTTTTAATTGTAAATTAAATATGAGGCAAGATGAGAACTTCCTCAAAATTTTAGTAATTTCTCCAGATTTAATAAATCTATCAGTATCAACAGTAGGAAATATAAGAGTAATGTTTCATGGCTTGCAATTGCTTCATTGACTAGTATAAATAGTAAAACTGCTATTTATGAATCTCCTTTAGTATTTCCAGTTGATGCAGATGTTTGTGCTGTCTGAAGTAATTCAGTCTTTTGTCTTAGGGTAGGGGAATGTTACCTTAACTCTACATGGCATTTCTAATGAATAGTCGAGTGCTGCAAAATATTTTTAGCACTGTTAGCATCATGTATGAACTGCATAGTAAAAGTAATAATTTTGCATGTAGGTCTTGAAATAGCCTGGTAAAAAATTAGTTTTACAATTTCCCCTCTTGAATATCTTGAGTTTATTCCTCTTGATTTTAGCAACTAGAGATTAGCAATTGTGTATATTGGTTTTACATTCTTCAGACTGTACCTACCTGAGTGATCAGTTTTACGTAGGCTTCAGTCAAAAGTAGCATTTGCTCAAATGTTTGGAGTGAGAAAGTGAAATTTGCAAACATTAAAAAAGTGATCAAATAAACTAGCAAAGCTGTTGACTTACATAACATGCATGGAAACCTGTAAGCTTTTTTTTTCAGTCATATTCTAACTATGAGATGGTTGCACCCTGAGCAACCTGATCTAGCGAGTGGCATCCCTGTCCATGGGGGGGGAGGGGGTTGGAACTAGATCATCCATCTTTAAGGTCCCTTCCAACCCAAATCATTCTGTGTTTAAACATGACAGATCCCAGGACAGACCTCCGTGGTACCCCACTTCTTACCAGCCTCTAGGTGCAATAAGATCCATTAACTATTACCAATCATCCAACCAGTTTTTTATTAATCTGCTTGTCCACCTATGATTCTATGAGAATATAGGCAGAATTGCCTAGAAACTTAAATTTAAAATTGAAAAAATATTACTGAGTATTTTTATCTCTGCATTGATCTTTTTTTTACCTTTTTTTTCCTCATGATAAAATCACATCAGTTTGTTTTGATTTAATTTGAACCTTTCAAAAGGAAACAAGCCTCACCCCACCCTTAAATGCACCCCACAAGGTAATGCAGAAATAGATACGTTGTTCTTAGTCTTTGGTTCAAAAAAACAGTCTGTGCTGTTTTTAGCCTAATGTAAATTCTGAAAACTGTTTTCCAGAATGCTGGAGCAGTGATTGGAAAAGGTGGCAAAAATATTAAGGCACTTCGTACAGATGTGAGTATACATGAGTTTGAATTAATTTAACACCAATTCTTCCAGGGTACTGCATTGAAAACTTGATTGCATACATTTCTAGAAATTGAGAAATTCAAACCTAGACAACAATAATCTAATAAGCCACTTGTAATGATTGTTGGAGAAGATAACTTTAGTTTTTCAATTTGTGTTTTAATTGAAGCCCAGCTCAAGTCATGTGGGAGGAGAGGTTTATGTTAAACCTCTTTGCTTTCAAACAGGGTTCCTCTAAATTACACAATTACATGAGTTAACATCTCTTATTAGAAATATTGGTAAAACTTAAAACCTGTAACTATACCATTTCCCATTTATGTGAATCCATTATAGTGCTATTGAAAACTATCTCTGGTGGCTGGCTTAAGCCAGCAATAAAAGAATATTTGAACTTCCTTTAAAAAAAAAATCCCAAAACATAATGGTCCATCTGTTTTTGCTTTAACAGTGTGGACATAAAGCACAAAACCATTGATGTTAGGGTTGCATGATTTAGGTACAGGTATAGAACAGTAAAGAAGTATTTTATTTTACTTGGAAGAATTTTTAAATGGTCATAACTTACTTAGCTATTCGTATTTTATGTGGGTTGACTCTTGTGATTAGACACACATCCAGTGTAAATGTTATGTATTTATAAAACTTGGCAATGCTTCTTAAATTCCTTTTGTTTACACTCCTGTACTTAGGATCAGCTACAGTTTTTTTCAAGCAAGACTGTGTTCAACACAATATTTGCTAATATATCATCACAGAATCAGTTCCATCTAAGTTCACAAACTATTGCAACTAGAATTGAGGATTAAGCTGAAATGGTCAGGAATCATGCCAACAAACTTTGGCAGCTAGTGGTTTTGTTTGTTTGTTTAAGTAAATGAACACATCCCTTTACTCCAGATAATTTAACTGGTCTGGAATACTAACTTTCCCAACTTGCTCAAGGTTTCAGTAATATGCATCTCAACAGTTTTTGTGTCTACCTTCATGAGCCAGCCTGCTACTGAAACATCATTGTTAAAGTGTAGTTTAGTCAGATAACGTAACTTGTGAAGATCCATACTGTTAAGTCACATTTGATGTAGCAATCCATTATTGTGTTAGTCTTCAAAGCAACTTACGCTTGCTTCATTAACTGAAAGTAATAAGTATAGTTTGTATTAAATTAAAATTTATTGCTTTTCCCCCTTTTCCCTCTCCTTGTTTTTTTGGCCATATATCTCCGTTACCCATGTACTGGATCGACTTGCCCCTGCGTTGCCCACCATGACGTTGGCCCATCCGCCCCTGAACGCCCATGTGAAAACCCTGGTTGGCTATGCCCAAAAATGTGCTTGTTGCCAAACGGGTACCATACTTGACAACTACTGATTGAATGCCCATGCCCAATGCCAACATCCACGAACGCCAATGACCAATGCAGTACAATGCAAGTGTTTCAGTCCCAGACAGCAGTGGCCCTGAGCGGTATGTCCCAACAGTTTATGCCTCACTGCCTGATTAGAAAGAGAGAAATGTATTTTATTACCTGCCTTTGATATAAATAGTATCCCCTTATAGACCGTGTATTGTTTTTTTTAAAGTTTGCTGTCTTATTTTCCCCATTAAGTCTTTTTGTCACTGAATTTTTACGTGAGTTGGCCACCCAAACAATCCACTAATTTTATTTCAATTGAAAGAGCACAGCTTCAAGTGTTGTATATTTACTGGATTATAAATCAAATTGTTTCAGGAGTCTCTTGCTCTGGTCTTTGTGGCCCACCTTTCTCCCCCCAGCATTGTCCATTCATAATTATTTCTGCTGAAATACTAAATCTAGTTCACTTTTCTTCACTTCTCATTTGTGTTATATTTTTGTTTGTTTGTGGGGTTGGTTTTTGTTTTGTTTTGGGGTTTTCCCCCTTGTATTTATGTTGCATTTTTTGCAGAGCCCATTAGTAATCTAATTTTTAACTGGTATGTCGACCTTACTCCAGATATAATGTTGACTACTTACATATCCTCACCTTTTCTATAAAAAGGTGTGCTAGTTTTACCAATGTAATGTTAAGCGTATACTAAATTAGTGGTGGCAGGGGAAATGAATATTCACTCATACTTTAGTTTTGCGTCAATTTCTTGCCTGGTTAATCTGTCTGAGCCCTTCCAAAAGCTCTAGTGAGTTCTTTTGCTCTCTCTGCAAGGCCTGCCTAGCCTTAAATTCTTATATTCATCATGCATATGTATTGGACATAAACAAAGATGCATGTGTTGTAAATCCAGTGAACAGGTTTACTTTAAATGGAGAATATTAATTGTAAGGTCTTCTGTGTAGTCAGTCTTGTTAGAATTTTGTGTATGATTATGAATAATAAGCTTATTTCTGCTACTTTCCACCTTCTCTATGTTTTCTGACACTATGGCCTCTTAACAGTATCTTGAGTATAAGTGCAGATACAGAGACAATTGGAGAAATCTTGAAGAAGATTATCCCTACTTTGGAAGAGGTATGTCTCTTAGGTTTGTTTCTTTTTCAGAGGTATGAATTTAGATTTTAAAACAAGATAATTCTAGATGATTGTGTCCTATTTTTAATATATTAAAATAGAAAGTAAAACCTAGCTTTTTTTGAAAGAAGACCTATAGCTCTCAATGTATGTGTTGGCATTTTTTTAATAGGGGACAGAGAAAATTTCTTAAAAGAATAATATTTGGAATAGCCTCCTTCCCTTCAAACCACCTGTTTCCTGACTAGTTCCTGATTTAAAGTAGCTCTACTGTAATTTCCATTCTGCCTTTACATGGTAATCAAGTGTGTTGTGCTGTTGGATATATTAAAATTCTGTACAACAGCAATAATAATAAAATAAAGAAAGAAAGCTAATTTGACATCACCTTGTGTTGAGACAAATTACTTAAAAATGTGTTGGTTTTTTTTCTAATAGTAAATAAAGTATTACAGTTCAGCAGTAAATTAAGTCATACCATGCTGTTTGGAGAAAAATCTTGAAAAAGAAAATCAAAATTAGTATTTGTATTTTTCAATTATTTTTCCCCTGACTAATATTTTATTCTTGTATGCATCTTACAGTACCAGCACTACAAAGGTAGTGACTTTGACTGTGAATTAAGACTTCTAATTCACCAAAGTCTAGCAGGAGGAATTATTGGTGTCAAGGGTGCTAAAATCAAAGAACTCAGAGAGGTACAGTTTCCTATTCTTTTCAGATTCTGCTTTTATTCTATAAACAAATTCGTTTTTTGTGTTCATATGCTGTGAGTGTAAGCTTCATCTATGATCTATGAGATCCTTAAGAACATATTTCATACATGAAGTAGCGATTGGTGATAGAGCCCAGAACTACTTATAAAGCTTTTAAGTGTATTAGCAGTAATCTTTATAAATAAAGGATACTTTTTAAAATTAAAATGCCATTTATCAGGAACTGCTAAATAGGTTATATCGATGGTGTTAGACAAGGAAAGCTATTTAGTGTGAATAGATCTCCATAAGCTATTTAATGATAATTTAATTGATGTTTGAATATTGTTATAAAAAAGTATGGTGGAGTTTTCTTAGGGTTTTGTTTGTGGAGTTTTTGGGTATTTTAACTTTCACTTCCTCAAAGGCCATTTTTTCCTTTATGAAGGAATGAGGTTTTGTCTTAAAAAGCTAGTGGTCTCTATCAGTCTAGATTGTTCGTTTCTGTCCTTTCCTCACATTGCATCAAAGGCAATTCCAGGTCTGTTTAGGCATAACTTACTATTTGTGTGGAATGAGGGAAAGGCAAGATGAATAGACATGATCCTTGCAACATTGCTGTCTTGCATCCAAAGCATGTTTATATGAGATATGAAGGCTTATATAACCTGTAAGGTTATAATGAATATGTGGTCCTTTTGCTTGTATTTGATTAAATAACCGTGTAGATGAACCATAATTAAAAGACTTCAAAAATCTAAATTTTTCACTAGCATTTCATACCAGCTGGTGCCATTGCGTGGGTATTAAAAATATAATATTTTAAGATTAAATTTGTTGTAAGAACTTGGAAGCCAAGCATTCACTTAAAGTGACTGGAAGTTGAATGATTTGTTTGACTGTTTCTTTTCAAATGTTTTAGTGTGTGTCTTACCCATTTTGTTTTCAATAAGTTCATAAAATTGTTAAAATACTTCTATTTGAAAATTTTGGGGGTTGCTTTTCTTCTATTCAACAGAATACTCAAACCACCATTAAGCTATTTCAAGAATGTTGTCCTCATTCCACTGATAGAGTGGTGCTTATTGGTGGAAAACCTGATAGAGTTGTGGAATGTATCAAGATTATCTTGGATCTTATCTCTGAGGTAATGTGTCTTAAACTTATTCTTTCATTGGTATTTATGAAAGTCAGGATGATTTGGCTGGAAAATTATATATTTCCATTTCTATTTTTAATTCATTGCCTATTCTCCAGTAACAAAATAAGCATTGGACTGTTAGCACCCTTTGAAATTGTTCCTGCTTGCTAGAATTGGAGTGTACCTTATTGGGGAAGACATTTTTGGTACCAAGGGACTTAGTCATGCTTTACATATCCATAAAATAAGAAAATTTTATTTAGGGGAGGAAGTGAGAGAAATGTATGTGCCACCCATCGATAACAGCAATTTCTTTATCATAGATAAGCTCTCAGGAAGTCTATCACTCCCCCTGCCTTGCTTATGAGTATTGTGAAATAAAGAACATATTCAGCATGTATAAATTCATATTTATATATTTATTATATTAATGAAATATAGTTGCATCAGTGCTAACTGGTGGGAGGGGTGTTATTTTTGTTTTTGTGTGTCTTAGTCTCCAATTAAAGGACGAGCCCAGCCTTATGATCCAAATTTCTATGATGAAACATATGACTATGGTGGCTTCACAATGATGTTTGATGATAGAAGGGGACGGCCAGTGGGCTTTCCCATGCGTGGAAGAGGAGGCTTTGATCGAATGCCTCCTGGTCGTGGGGGACGACCTATGCCTCCATCAAGAAGAGATTATGATGATATGAGCCCTCGCAGAGGACCTCCACCGCCTCCACCAGGCCGTGGTGGCAGAGGTGGCAGCAGAGCTCGTAATCTTCCTCTTCCTCCTCCACCACCTCCTCGTGGCGGGTAAGCTGTTGCATAAATGCATTGTACAAGTTGAGTAACATTTACTGAATTGTGTTCATGTTTCCAGGACTTGTTTCACACTCCATGTTGCTAGTAGTTATTCAGAATTGAGTGTGTATTGCACCAGAAAATTTTGAAAGCATTTGAATTTAATTATTTCTACACTATTATCAGGACTAGTAGTTCTGTAACTTTATGTCATTCAGAACTAGGCTAAAGCATTTAGAAATTCATAATTGTGTGTAAATTGTTAAAACTTGAATTAGAATATATAAACTAGTTCATAACATGAGTCATATGCTGCTGCTTTTTCTCATTTTAGAGATCTTATGTCTTATGACCGAAGAGGTAGACCTGGAGACCGTTACGATGGAATGGTAGGAGGCTAAAATTTATTTTGCTTAGTAAATACAGTTAGCACTTTGAGGAAACTTCTTGAATACATACATTTAAGTGTGGAACATGTGTGCCTCTGATAAACTTTGATATCTCCACAATCTTTTGGCTATACAAATGGTCTCCCCAAGAATACAACTGTTGGAGGTGTAAGGAGTATTTGGGATGTGATCTGCTGTGTGGTTTTAGTTTGTGGGATTTTGTTTGTTTGGTTGGTTGTTTTTCCCTGCCTACCATCAATAATGGAATAGAAAGTTGGTAGAGCACAGTCCCTTCAGGTTTTAATTACACAGACCTTCTTGTAGACTGTTTCTTGTAAATCAGGATGACAGAAATAGAAATTGGTAGGCTGTTCAGATTAGGAAAGCATGTCAGAACAATGTTTTCCAACAAATGTTTACAAAATTTAAGAGAGCATGAATAATATCTTTAAAGGGATCTAGTTGGTTTGGCAGATAATTGCTTTTTCAATTCAGTTCTTTATGCCAATTTATATCTGAAAAAAATCTACTATGATTTCAAATGTTTTGGAGCCAGGACCACTGATAAGATGAATTTTAAATGAAATTAGATACGTTTCAACCATGTTGGGTGGTGAGGAGAATTAAAAAATGCGTAAAGATATTTTTCCATGTTGTACTCTGAAATATGACATCTCTCTTTTTTTTTTTTTTTTTTTTTTAACCTCTTCTGACTGTTTGGCACATTCTTTAAGATGACAGGTTAGATGAGATTATTTTAAATAAATGGAAGAGAAAGTAGAGGAACTATGAAATGGGCTACCTAAATGAGATTTACACATTGGTGCCTCCTGGGAGGAAGAGGCAATTACTTCCAGTAACACATACTGGAAGAACATATTGAAGCAATGTCACAATTGAGGCACTGGAAGCCTAGCAGAAATACTAAAATTAAAGACTTGCATTTAAAATTACTAAAACCAAACAAACCACCCCCACCCTCCCAAAAAAGAAGTAAACAAACCCACAACATTAAAACCAGCAAGTTGTTTATGCTACTCAGAATCTTAAGAAGCTAGGAGTTATGAACTAGACCTCTAAGAGCACTTCTTTGTATTTTCATGTTTTCAAAGCTTGGGTTTTGTGTTTTCTTATTAGCATCTGGTAAAACCAATGTCAGGGCATATAAACATAGCAATCTGCCCTTCCTTGGGTATGTGGTTGAGAACAGTCTTCAGCTTGGGGCAATAGTGTGTTCTAGTTCTGTTCCATTCCATTTAGAATAGAGAAATCTATTTGAACTCTAGTCTGACTTTGATCAGGTTGACCTTGGCTTTCTTGACACGAGTTTCTACAAATAAATAGGAGTCATCTCTGCTTGCTTGTTTTCCACGTTCTGAAAAGCAATTCTATTTCTTCCTCTTCACAGTGGAGCTGCTCGTGGCTTTGGCTGCTTTATGCATGAGTTTCATAGACAGCCTACAATGAGGACTGCTTTCTGACACAGATCTTAATTTCTACTTTTGGCTAGCCATAGTCCCAGTATCCTTAATTGTATAAGCACATGAAAAATCTTTCCATGGATTGTGAGGCTAAAACTGAAAGTGTCATACCAGAAATATAAGGTCTTGGGCTACTATACATTTCACATAGAAACCATTCTGTAGTGAAACCTTTAGAGTAAACTAACATCCTTGTGATTTGTGAAGTAATGCATGGGAAAGGCTAATTTCAGAGAGCAGGACTGCCATTTTACATAAATACATTAAAAGGCAAGAATAGTCTTTTCAGACCAACATCTTGGAGATGTTGAATCTGCAGAAATCCTCATTTTCTGCCAGATCTCTTCTCTAAAAATGAGAAAGTTCAGACTTGTAAGATGGTGAACCAAGACTGGATGGTGAAACTTGACTTTTTTGAGATGTAACAAGACTGACAGTCTTGTAAAGTTGAAGATGGGAGGAAAAAATAATTGTGTGTGTGTATATATATATATCATTTATTCTGAAGCATTTTACTGGAAAACATACATGCATTGTTTCTCTTATTTACAGTGGTATATATTTTAGGTTGTAAGTACTAAATGCCTATGGGCCATGACAGCTATTTTGATAGCTGAGAAAACACAAATGCATTTCTGCTATTTTTTTTTAACACCCCCATCCCCATGGGTGCTTTAGATAGACAAATGCACAAAAACATACCAGGGAAAAAATAAGGTGGAGAAGTACATATAAAGCTGTTTAATCTTCCACTTCCCCTTTTTTTTTTTTGTTATAATGGCCTATGCCTAATACTTTCAAAGTATTTTTAAATTGGAGTTGAACAAGAGCTAAATCAGTGTCTGTTGTAGTATATGTTCAGACACCTCATCTGGTTTTTCTCATTCAAATGATTTCTACTGCTAAATCATTATATATATATGTGTGTCTGTGTATATACATGTGTCTGTATTAGGACTTCAATAAAGGTACATACCCTAAAAAAATATTAAACATACTTTATTTTTTAAGAGACTTGATGTTAAGGAGCATGTCAAAGAAGAGAAAGTGAAGAAAATATGTTTGACACATCTACATAAATACTAAAATTACCAAAATTTCAATTTTCACTCTTCTTGGCCAAGGAATTTCCCATCAGTTAGTATTGCATGCGTATTTTTCAATTGCATGCTAAAGGCAATAAATTCTTATTAATACTAATAATTTTGTCTAATCCAGCCAGTGTTGTATTTGGTTTTGATTTAATTTGCGTTGGTTACCAGTAGTAACTAGCACAAATGAGTCTGTAGAGAAGAAAATTGTATGCGCCTAATATTTTAGGAACCATTTTTAAAGGAGCACTTATGTTTTCATAGAATCACAGAATATCCTGAGTTAGAAGGGACTCACAATGATCATTGAGTCCAACTCCTGGCTCTGTACAGGAGACCCCAACAATCCCACCCTGTGCCTGAGAGCATTGTCAAAATGCTTCTTGAGCTCTGGCAGCCTTGGGGTTGTGACCAGTGCCCTGGCTTCTAGTGCCCAACCACCCTCTGGGTGAAGAACTTTTCCTGGTATCCTCCCCTGACACAGCTTCGTGCTGTCTTCTTGGGTCCTGTCACTGGTCACCCAAAAAGAGATCAGTGCTGCCCCTCCACTTCCCCTTTTGAGGAAGATGTAGACTGCAATGAGGTATCACCTCAGTCTTCCCTTCTCCGATGACCTCAGCTGTTCCTCATATGGCTTCCCCTCAAGACCCTTAACCATCTTCATGGACTGCCTTTGGATGCTCTCTAATAGCTTAATATCTTTCTTCTAGTTTGGCACCCAAAACTGCACACAGGGCTCAAGGTGAAGCCACCCCAGTGCAGAGCAGAGCAAGAGAATCACTTCCCTTGACTGGCTGGTGATGCTGGGCCACAATTGGCCCTCCTGGCTGCTAGGGCACTGCTGCCTCATGTTAAACTTGCCATCAAGCAGGACCCCCAGGTCCCTTTATGTGGTGTCACTTTCCAACATCTTTTTCCCCAGTCTGTACATCCAGGGTTGTCCCATCCCAGGTTCAGAATGCAGCACTTTCCCTTGTTGTACTTGATATGGTTGGTGATGGCCTCTCATTTGTTGAGGTCTCTCTGCAGGGCCTCCCTGCCTTTAAAGGAGTCAATAGCTCTTCCCACTTTAGTGTTGTTGGCAAAATTACTTAGTATACCTTCAAATCTTGTATCCAAGTCATTTATGAAGATGTTAAAGAGAGCTGGCCCTAAAATGGAGCCCTGCAGAACCCCACTAGTGACAGGTCAGTAGTCTGATGTCACTCCATTCACTATAACCCTTTGTGCCTGACCTATGAGCCAGTTGTCCACCCATTGCATGATGTCGTTATCCAGCTGGACATTTTGTCTAGAAGGATCCTGAGAGAGACAGTATTGAAAGCTTTACTGAAATCTAAAATGATCACATCAACCGGCTTCCCTTGATCAAGTGGGTGGGTTACCTTGTCAAAAAAGAAATCAAGTTTGTCAAGCAGGACCTTCACCTCATGAAGCTGTGCTAGCTGTGACCAATGACTGCAACATAGTCATTATCTATCACGTGTTTTTCAGTAACTCCCAGAATAATCCTCCATAAGTTTACCAGGTACTGAAGTGAGACCGACAGGCCTGTAGTTACCATAGTCATCCTTCTTGCCCTTGAAAATTTGGACAACCATTGTCAGCTGAGACCTCTCCAGATTCCCGAGATTGTTCAAAAATCATTGAGGGGAGGTCTCACAATGACATCAGCCAGCTCTTTGGGTACTCTTGGATGAATCCTATCAGGCAGCATAGATTTATAGGGATGCACCTGGAGCAGCAGATCCTGCTGAACTACAGGGTTAACTGGGAGTTGATCGTTCTTGCAGTCATGGTCCTCCAGCTCAGAGCACTGGGACCTCCTTGGTTTGTCATCCGAGTTGAAGACAGAGGCAAAGAATGCGTTAGAGACGTTTGCCTTGTCTCTGTGAGCTGGCCATCTTCATCCTGTAACAGGCCAATGTTATTTATGGTCTCCTTTTTTGCTACTGATATATTTTTTAAAACTTTATTGTCCCCCACAGTTCCGGCAACTTCAATTCCAGTTGAGCTTTGGCTGCCCAGATTTTCTCTCTAGTGGGGCAAGCAGCATCTCTGTATTCTTCCCATATCTCCTGACCTTGCTTCCACTGGGCATACACCTTCCTCTTTTGCCTTAGCTCCAGAAAAAGATCCTTGCTCCGCCAAGCTGGCCTTCTGACTTGCCTGCTTGACTTCTGACATTTGGGAATTGCCTGTGCCCTTAGGAGGTGGTGCTTAAAAAGTGATCAGCACTAATGGACCCCAGCACCTTCCAAAGCATTTTCCCGGGGGCCTTACTTGTTCCCTGAGCAGCTTGAAGTCTCCTCTCCTCATGTCCAGGGTTGAAGTTTTGCTGGCACTTTTTTTCCTCTCACCAGAGATTTTAAACTTTATTGTTTTGTAGTCACTGTGGCCAAGATGGCCACCAATCGCCACTTCACTCTTGGGCTCCTCTCTGTTAACGAGCAACAACTCAAGGAAGGCCCCTTTCTTAGTTGGCTTCCCTAGTATCTGTACCATGATGTCATCCAGGTGTTTTTAGGAATCTTCTGGCCCTGGTTGTACCAGCTGTGTGGTGTTCCAGTTAACATCCAGCAAGATGAAGTCCCTCAAAATGTCAAGGGCAGTTGATTTGGAGGTGTCCCTTAGTTCCTTAAAGAATAATTCATCAGTGATGTCATCCTTTTTTTGGTGTGTCATCCATGTTATGTTGCATGTTTTAACTCAGCAAAGGCCTTTGCCATAATAGTAATTTGAAGTGGATACTACAAATTGTATTTCTATAATTTTGTTGAATTTTTTTTCCCAACATTTGTTAAGGAAGACTAAAGAAAAGATATGCTATATATCACACTTTAAAAAAAAAGTAATTGGATTTCCAATATAATTAGACAGTAGTAGATTATTAGTTTAGCTGTTGGCTGTATGAGGTATATGGAAAATAATAACATATGAGAAGCTGTCTCCTTCCTGCTTGACCTGTTGGTGACACAGATATATCAATGACAGTTACTTGTTTTATCAAATGCCTTTCCTGTTTTTTTTTTATGTATAAGAGAAGTAGAAGGTTTTGGTATCTGAGAGTAACATCTTTTACTATATAGTGCAGTTCCAGTACTTAGAGGTAAAAAAACCAAGTAACCAACTGTTCAAGCTTTGCTTGGCCCTTAACTGTCTGAATCCTTTGTGTAAGAGGAAAATGTGTTTATGCCACAGAAACAAGGGAAAAAGGAAGTGTGACCAGTAACAGTTCCCTAGCAGTGAAAGTAAAAGGGAGTAAATTGTGTAACTGGTCTGTTATTTACTTTTGAGCCTTTGTAGTAGTTTTAAGTAGTGCAGAAAAATGTTTCTTTATATTGCTCTGTGTGTGTTTGCCAAGTTATCTGTAAGTCTCCAAAACATGGACTTAATTTGGATTCATTTCCTCTTTTTCTTCTATTACATTGTCCCTGGAAGATGATGCAGTGTCATGTAGATGCCTGTGATGACATGCAGCCACCAGAGTTGGTGAGTGTGCTCATGCTTTTATTTGACTAGTTTAATAGTTTATTTTTGAGGAAAATAATTTGAATTGTTTAAGTGATAACTGGAATTTTTTGAGATTGAATGTAATTAGTGGCAGCTTGCACCTTTGAAAAGTCTCTAAAGCTGTCATTGTAACTCAAGTTATTAGCAGTTTATTTCATAAACAGTGAATCCTATACAGGCAGTTAATGTTCCTCAATGGAAGCATGCAGCAGCACAGCCAAGAGCTTTTCTCTAGTACTGTCTCTTTTGTACCCTATTTTACAGTTTCTGTTGTAACTTTTGCTGTAACTCTTGCTTTGTCAGCACCCTGTAGATGCATCTATTTAGGACTATGTTTTATTTTAACTTCATCATGTTGTGCTTTCCCCTGTTTCAAATGAGGAATGCTAAAAGTAATTCTTTACTTATAGTTCTGGATAAACTTGTGCATTATCTATCCATATATTTGAAATATTCCATTTGATTTGTGTTTATCAAACTTCTTACTCTTAGAGGGTTTAGGGAGGAAAGTTCAAAGGGTATCAGCAAGTGTTTATGCTGTGTAGATGTCAAAGTGCCACCAAATATTAAATGTTAGTTCCTATCTTACATAAACATTGCAGTTAGAATTACTCATCTGCTGTCAAATTAATTTGCTGTCTTGTAGTCTGGGGAGGGGAAGCAGCAGAAAGGATGAAGAAAATGATTGTTCATTACAAGTTAGCCCAAAAAAGAGATTCCCTGGGCAAAATATCAGCAGAAATAGGTAGAAGAGTATATGTGGAATATGCAGCTCTGATCAGTCTCTGAATTAAGTTCTACGCAGTGTCCTTCATTGTTTTGTATTTTGCACTCCACTACAAGCTCTTTTTATATTGTATTATGGTCAGTATTGCTAAGCAATGTGATTGCACAACACAGGTTGCTTAGAAACAGATAACTTTTTCTGAATAGCTTCCATTTTGATGTGGCTCTAAAAAGCTGACAGGTGTTTGGTTATTGTTTTGGAAAAAAATATTGCATTATAACTTCTGCAAACAAGTAGTTCACAGATTCCTGTATTTCAGTGTTATCAGTTGAGTTCTAGAGAAGTGTGCACATCTGTTTCTGCTTCTACAGGAAGATTAAAATGAATGTGTGTGCATACAAAAGGCATTAGATCAAATTAAGCACTTGATATCAAGTACCAGTCCTAAAAATAAAAACAGTCAGGAGTGCTGCAGTACAGTGATTTGGATTTGTTATATGATAGTTTTAGCAGAACAGTAGTAATAAGTGTCATGATTGTCCCTTCTAAGATGCAAAGGATTGTAGCATAGTCTAAATGGAGAGAGACAAGTTATAAAGTTATTAGAGTTGAATTGATTTTTCCTCAAGATGGAGTAGGAGGGTTGACAGTTACCGGGTAAATGTCTTGTCTCAAACTGAAACTTTAATTTCTCCTGAGCTGTATAGGTAGTAATAATAAGGCTGAACTCTGATCTTTGGATTTGAATACTAGTTTAGTTCAAGGGTCAGGAATAGATCAATATGAAGAGCTGTTTACCAACTGAATTGATAAGGTTGCTTGGTAAATTGGTATGGCTGGATCTTAATGACTTATTCTTACAGATTTTAACAGAGCTAGCTAAAAGGTTCTTGTGAGATTCCTCCCTGCCCTCTTGTTCCCGGTCTGCCCTCTTCCCCACTTTGTCTTTAATGACACTTAGATTAAGGTTGTGGGTTAGGATTTTTGCATAAAATAGGCTCAAAGTTAACAGTATAATACTTGAGATGAAAACATGTTAATGAATCACTGCTGGTTTCACTAATTAAGGTATTTCTTTCTCTTTTTCTTATAGTTTGAGGGTGGCTCTGGATATGGTAAGTTTTTATAGAGAACTTTGACATGCACTTCATTTAGTCAGTAAGAGGCTTGATGCATGTGTTTAAATCAGACTATTCTTACACAGGGGGCCGTGGTTCATATGGAGATCTTGGTGGACCCATCATCACAACACAAGTAACAATTCCCAAAGATGTAAGTAAAGCTGACTTGCTTTACAATTGTGTTTAAATAAATAAATTAAAAGTCACAGTCTTTTCTTAGGCTATGTAAGTAAATCAGAAGTATTTGGTATGCTTGATAAGTACTTTTAATATAAAGCAAGTGTTTCTAAATAATTGGAAGTTTATTCTCAAGGATGTTTGTTTTGTCTTGACTTTAGAGATTGCACTGAACTATTTTTAATTGTTAATATTCAATAATAGAGATGGTCTATATGACTTGGTTTTACAAACACTTGGTTCTTCCAACTTTATCCCACCTGTGTTTGCTAATATACATTACAGCGACTGCTTTGAGGCTGTAAAAGAGTAAGCTTCCATTGAAACTCATAAAACTAAATGGATGGAAGCTACTTGAACAGTACTGTGCAGAGAAAGTTATATCAAGAAATGAATGCTTTATTTTCTTCCCTAGTTGGCAGGTTCTATTATTGGGAAGGGAGGCCAGAGAATCAAACAAATACGTCATGAGTCAGGAGCTTCAATCAAAATCGATGAACCACTAGAAGGCTCAGAAGATCGAATAATAACTATTACAGGAACGCAGGACCAGATACAAAATGCTCAATATTTACTGCAGAACAGGCAAGTTGAAGCTTAATGCTGTCCTTACTATAATTTTTAAACTGACTTTCCTACTACTACATTCTAAAGCTCTTCTCTGTAATATAGTTTTTAGAAGACAGGATTTAAGTAACTATTGAACCTAACTTCTCTAGTGGTAGGTCTGCCTTGATTCTCTTTTCTCTGTTCTAACGAAAATGAAAATTCCCTCAAAACTAATCTTGATGGAAGACACCTTGGCCAAACAGTCCTTTCATTTCTCTGGTGAAAATTGCTGCAAAAAAATTACTTGTAATTAATTATATAGAACCTGTAGAAAATATAGAAGATTTCAGTGGATGTTGGTCTAGTTCTGTGTGGAAGACTAGTGATTTTGTTGTTTTTAGATAACCGACAACAAATCACAGTCTGCCATATGGCACAGGCCATGCCTCTACAGGACAAGTTGAAATCAATTGGTGCTGTTATGCAGCATTTCACACCTTGCTGGCATTACTTTCTCTTCTTCTGAATATTAATAATTTTGGACATAGTTTACCTAGTTTTGCTTTAATAACATGTTGGCTGTCATAGGATTATTTAATGTTTACTTGAATGTTTGGCTTTAGATTGCTAATATTTAAATGTACTTTTAAATAATTAAATGCCTATAATTATTAGTCATTACCCTTTCAAAATTATTTACTTTAAATAGTATTGGAAATTTATAGTTTAAGAATGCCATTGTAAATATTGATGTAAGTGTATGGTCAATCATTCTAATACATGCTTTTTTCTTTTTCTTTTATAGTGTGAAGCAGTATGCAGATGTTGAAGGATTCTAATGCAAGATTATTTTTTCTTTTTTATAGTGTGAAGCAGTATTCTGGAAAGTTTTTCTAAGACTAGTGAAGAACTGAAGGAGTCCTGCACCTTTTTTTTTTTTTTTTTTTTAATATCTGCTTCTGTTTAAATAGCCAACATTCCTCTGCTTCATAGGTGTTCTGCATTTGAGGTGTAGTGGAATCTGCTTTTCGCCAGATGTAATGTTTTAGTTCATTACAAATATTTGGGGTAGGAAAAGGTTGCACAAGACTAACACTGAAATTTTGAAACAGCAGCAGAGTGGATTTTATTTTTGTTCAATGGTAGTAAATTGTAATGTGGTTTTATTTTTCCTGTAGCAATTGTGAACACCCTGCTTTATGTACACTGTAATTTTTTAAATTTTTTTTTTTGAAGGGGGGAAAGGACTGGTTGTTCACATGTCCCTGGCATCCTTTGAGGGCAGTGTGCAGAATGTAATGTTCTTTTTTAAGATGTATTTTACAATTTTTAAATAAATTTAGTGAACCTATTATTGGTGGACGTTTTTTAATATATGTAAGGTAATATCTAAAATGAATACACCCTTCCCCCGCCCCCAAGAAAATGCGTAAATTAAAGTTGCTGTTAAGCTTACTCTTCTGCTTCTTTAATATAGATGGAGTTACATGTTTTTGGCAAATTAAAGAAACAGTGTGAAAACTGGCTTGGCTTTGCTATTTGGGGGAAAAAAGTAAAAAAATATTAATGCTTACATTGTGTGAAATTTGACCTTTTTTCATATTTTTGGCCCTCTGCCTTGTATATTTATCTATATATAGGTGACAAAAAATATTTTAAAACTGGGATGCCACTAAGTTAAGTGGGTTAAATACACCTGGTTCTACACAGATTGCTTAATGCAAATATAGTTAAAAATAGCAGTTGATGAAATTAATGACTGGTACTTTTCAGAGCTCATTTTTGTCAGATAAAACTTTTATGAATTGACAAATTGGCAGTATCTAACTTGATTTTCATTGTATACAGACTCAATTTCTTTGATTTCCCTGTTTCTTGAGTTCCATAGGAAATATTTGTGAGAAATTAAAAAATAATAATGTACTCCTGGATTTTTCATGTAATACCTTGGCATTTGTATTTATAGGTTACAAGTTTTATTTTCGCTTCCTAAATAAAAGCAAAAGCAAGACGTTCGAGAACTTTGTAAATCTCAGTGTGATTGATCCAGATTAAGTGGATTATTTCACTCTGGGGGGGGTTGTGTCTTGAACTTTTTTTTTCCTTATATTTTTGAACCATGTGGGGTAATTCCTGTCATAAGGAGCTACACTTAAAATGTCATAGGAAAGGGCAAGGAGCTAAGAGATTACCTACTTAGCAGAGCTGTAATAAATCCCTAGAAAACACCCAAAACCTGATTTTTACTAGGGTAAAGGAGTATGGCAGTTGTCTCAGTAAACAAACATACATGTAGAATTGGTATTTCCTTAGGAATGGCTGAACATAAATAAAGGAATTAGCAACCTAGTAAAAAGGGTCAAACAAAACTGCAAAGTTAAAACAAAATTGGTGCAGGTTTTTTTTCTATACACTTCTACACTGTGTCTATGGTTTGTGTTTTTAAAATATTTTAGCAGGGAAAAAGCTGCACAAGTCAATATACAGAAGAATGTGTTTTGTTTTTTCTTGTTAATGATTTGCATCTTTCTAGAAGCTAGCCTTTTCTTATAAACAAGTTAAGCACCGTCTCTAGCTTTAGTTGGATTTTCTTTAAGGTTTCCTTAAAACCAAGCACTTATGTTTTGAGATGAGCCTAAGGGATTCCTACTGTAAAAGGAACTGGGTTTGGGATTTGTCTTATGCCTCTGTCTCCACCCCTCTTTTACCTACTGAGTAAGGGCCAAAAAGATGCTTGTTTCTTGAGGAGGACTATGGTGATGTTCACAGGGGTCCCAGGACAAGGGAAGAGACGAGAATCTTGACTCCATGTTTCAGAAGACTGATTTATTATTTTATATATTTTATATGAAAAGAAAATTATATACTAAAACTACTAAAAGTATAGAAGAAAGGATTTCATCAGAAGGCTAGCAAGGAATAGAAAAGAATGGAATGGTAATAAAATCTTTTGACTGACCAGAGTCTCCAAGACAGCTAGACTGTGATTGGCCATTAATTAGAAACAACCATATGAGATCAATCAAAGATGCACCTGTTGCATTCCACAGCAGCAGATAATTATTGTTTTTCTTTTCCTCTGAGGCCTCTCAGCTTCTCAGGAGAAAAAATCCTAGCAAAAGGATTTTTCATAAAATATGTCCATGACAGAGGACTGCTGGGCTTTTCTGTTAGGAAAGGGATGTAGGGGAATACTGATAGCACGATAGTCCTTATACTTCTACTTCAAAAATAGTTTAGTAATACTGATTGTAGAAACTGAAACAATTTATTCTTTATGGAGGCCTTTTTTAAAGGCTGACTGTTATGCACAGAAACTGCTGGATTTGAAATGTAGCCCTTAAGGCATGGGTTCTATAGCAGCATTCAGGTCCATGTTTCTGTAGATTGTGTCTGAAATTAACTTGAAATATCTATGTGTAGAAAAATCACACTATGAAAAGCCAGTGTCCATAAAGGAGACAGAGGAGTCCAGCAACTTTATTAGAATAAAGAGAGTCCTCTGGGGCACACGTCCGCGGGGTTTTCTCTCTCAAGGGTTTGGAGGGCTCAGCCTCCTTTTACCCTAAACTTGTGGCTACATGTTGCTCTCTTCCTTTTCCCACTGGCTGAGGTACTAGGAAGGTACAGCCTTCCTGAACTGCCTACCACATATTCCCACCTTAAACATGTCATTTTACCCCAAAGTTCAGAAACTCAGTGTCCTTGGTTAGATAAGGAAGTGAGTTTTTTGGGAGGTTGTGGTCCAACCAATCAGTGCTCAGATTTTAATATTGCCACCTGGTGTGGCCACTGAAGACAAGGATACGCCTCTGAGAACACAGGGGGTTAAAAAGCAGAGAACTCCCAGGGGAACTCTCTCTTGGTTCTGGTCCCTGAAAGAGGTCAGATCTCCCCTGCGATCTGCGGGCTGGGTGGGGGAGGGGAAGCCATGCAGCGGGGGTTGAGGTAGGCCAGAGCCTTGGACAGAGAAGGCCCCTGCAGGATGGAAGGGTGGAGGAACACTGAGAGGCATCAGGCAGTCCATCTGTCTCCCCTGTCTCCGCCCCCCTCTCCCCCCCCCCCCCCCCCCCGGTAGGGAGAGCGAGTGAGAGCCTGTGCCTGTGCCACCTTGAAATTTGATATCTTGTGCTGGCAGCACGACCCTGCCGAGAAGGGGAGGGGGGACAGCGAGAAGGTGCCCGGCAGCCATAGGAGTTCTGGGCAGGCAGAGCCTGAGATTTTAACCTGTTTCTTGGACAATGAAAACTTTGCGAAACATTAAAACCTCCCAGAAGAGAGACAAACATAAAATAGAAGGAAATGGGCAACTGTGGTGAAGGTTTGAGCAAGTGAAAGATGCCACAAGAGTTGAGAAGAATCCTAGGTGGGAGGAGATGATGGAGTGGCCTTCAGCTGGAGTTTTCTTGTATAGCCATGGACAGAACCTTTTTTTTTCTGTAACACAGGGACTGCATTTGGGGCAAGGCAATGGCTTGGAGCCAAGAGAGTGTGGTGATGTTAAGTAAAGGAGTGACATGAACAGAGATGACAGATGAAGAGGGTGGTGCCCTCTCTCTTCAGTGAAGAAGAAAATCTCTGTTCTCTAGACCTCTCGGCCCCAGGGGGTGCATTTGGGGGAGAGTGGTGTCCCGAAAGTGAGAGACTGTTGCTTTTTTGGAACTGGGCAAAGCATCCTTACAAGGGGAACCCTAGAAGCAGCTCTGGTCCATGTGCAGCGGTGAAAGTGAAATAAACAGGGCAGGAGACTTTTTCTCCTTTTAATGCCTTTATTAAAAGTGATCAGCTCAAGATTGGGAAGCCCAATGGGTCTACAGTCTCTGTCGGCTCTCCCAGGGTGACTTGGAGGAGAAGGATATGTGCATCTTTGTCCACTAGGGGCAGAGCTGGGGGCCCAGTCTGTTATGAACAAAAATTCTGTTGATTTTTTTCTATGAGAAAAAGGTTACCACTACTGCTGGGGTGCTGCTTGTGTTATGGTAATTACGGGTCGTTGTTGTTAATAGTTGTTTTTGTATCAGTAAAAGCCCTGGCTGGGGCGAGTTCATGGCCCTTCTCCGAGACAGTGAAGGGTGGGGACCTCCCCGAACTGTGAGGAGAAGAGGCTTTGGAGGGGTTGGGATATGCAAAATACTCCAAGGACCAGCATGCTGTGTGGGACCCCTATTCCAAATGCACGGAGAAAAACCCCAAAAACAACGAGCCACCTAAGAGTTGAGAGACTGGAGTGATGTCTGGACGTGAGGAACCGAGTGCGGAGCCTGCAGAGATGTGGAACACCTTCGGAGTCCCTCTCGCCCTGACCATGGGAGTTGTCCCCGGCGCCGAGAGCGGGCGGGAAGGGGCTGGGAAAAGTAACATCGGATGGGATCACCACGCCCTAAAGGCTCCCACGAGGACCTGATCCCCAGCTCTGCTCCTAGTGGACAAAGCTGCGCATATCCTCCTCCTCTGAGTCGCCCTGGGAGAGACAACGGGAGACTGCAGCCCCGCCGAGCTGCCCGATCCTGAGCTGATCACTTTTAATAAAGGCATTAAAAAGGAGAAGAAGTCTCCTTGCCCTGTTTATTTCACAGTCCTTGTGGGGGCCTTTGGGGCATGACCCCAATCTCGAATTTCTAGTGCCTCCCGCTCCCGGTCTCGGTTTAAGATGATTTCTTTGCTCAGGGTGAGGGGCAATGAAGGTTTTCAGCATCTCTGCAGGCTCAGCACTCTGTTCCTCACGTCCAGACATGACTCTAAATTCTTAATTCTGCATTGGCTCGTTGTTTTTGGGGTCTTTTCAGTAAGTTTGACTCTTCCCATGGCATGCTGGTCCTGAAGTTATTTTCCATCTTCTGATGCCCCCCCCCTCCCACGTCTCATCCCCTCCCTTCACTGTCTGGGAGAAGAGCCATTAATTTAGCCCTAGCCAGGGCCTTTACTGATACAAAAAGAACCATTAACTTCAACGACTTGTGATTATCATAACAAACAGGTAGCACTGTAGCAGCAACACTGGTCTGACTGGTTTTTGTAACTCTTCTTTCACAAAAAAAATTGGTAGAATTTTGTTTATAACAAGAGCGCTGTACATGGAAGGAAGATGTCACGATAGCAAATGTTCTCCAGGCGGTGCCACGTGTGTCATGGAAGCACAAGAGGTTTCAGCCGTGTTTCCTGGGGAAGCCTATGGTACAAGAGGGACTCCTCTCTTCTTGATGAACTGAGAGTTGATTATCTGAAGGGTGGGGATGAACTGAGAGTTGGTGATCTGAGGGGTGGTAACTGGATTGAGAATCTAAGGTTCTGTTTCATGTGGTGGTTAAAACTGGGGGGAGGAGGAGGAATGTTTTTGGAAGGTTTTCAATATGACTTCTGTATGTTCCTTTTTTTTCATATTTTAAGTTAATAACTTTCTTTCCTGTATTCCCAAGCTGGAGCCTGCTTTGCTCTATTTCTGGTCACATCTCACAGCAGACACTAGGGAGAATATATTTTCATGGGGGCACTGGCATTGTGCCAGCATCAAACCATGACACTCAGGCTTATGCCAACACCCATTTGTCTATTTTAGGAGTCAAACTGTCTGGGCTCTGCAACAAATCTGCTGCCCAAAGTTAGTAGAGACACTAAGACCCATTTCAAAAACGTTAACACCCATAGCCTCACCCATTAAATTGTTTGTAAAGACATTAGCACACACTTTTCGTATCAAACCCTCCTTATTTGCCAATTTGTCTTTATAAATCTTAGTTATCATTAACTTACCTTTTTGTTAACTGCCCAGCATGATATAAAAATTTACATTTGAAACACCCCCTCCCAACTTTTCCGCATCTGGCCCCTGCACCAGGTGTTATAGGTGGCCATTGAATCTTAGTATGTATTGTATAGGTGCCCTTTGAGCCATAGTAAAATATATGTATTGTATAAGTGGCCTTGCCCCGATCCTAGTTGTTCTAAATGGGCTGCAGCTGTGATGTCCTTAATTGGGCGGCAGCTGTGGCTAATGACGATACCTGGGATAAAAGGGGGGGGGGGGGAGGCAGTCAGGGAGAGCCTTGGAGGAGCTCTGATCAAGAAGCAGGAACAACACTGCTGTGAAGAGATGATCGTGAGAAAACCACCCAGAAAGTATGGGACTCTAGAAATATGATAACAAGAAGGTGTGGCAAGTAAATACAAAGAAACAACTTCGAATAAAGTGAACAATGACAGTTCATATTAGCCCACTAATCACTAGAGGCCCTTGTAGATGATCCGTAGCTACTGATAGCTAAGGTCTCCCATCCTTGTCCTCCTACTGAGAAGTCCACGGTGGGTGGTACGGGGGCGGGTCGCACGGGGGTCATCCCTGAAAGGCATGACTGCCAGTGTAATAAACATATCACTTTTTAACTTTGATTAATTAGAGAGTCTTTGTCCATGATCTTCGGTTTAAACGATTCCATTGGCGAGCCAAGCTAGGAGGAGACTCTGCTCAGCTGTGAGACCAGCCCAGGTTGTGGAACCCCTCAGGGCGCCCCCAGGATATTCCTGGAAGAGTGGGCTCCGCTGCCCAGACTGTTGATCCAGCAGCAGACAAGGACCCTTGATTACTAAAACTCCGGACAAAATGGTATGTTTGAAAATTGAAACAGTTTTAAATAGTGACCTGTAAGGCATATGCATGGTCAAGAAAGGCCGTTTGGTAAGTCGTGGGAGACATCCCACGCACAACTTGTGCCTCTGTAGTGTGCTTGCAAGCTGAAGTTGCAGTTGAAATCGGGTTTATCTAGTTGCCAGCAGAAAGAGTTGTTGAACTGTTGTACCGAGCTCAGGCTTTTGTTGCTGGCAGAAGGGGATTTTGCCATTTGTTCTGCTGTAGAGGGCTCAGTTTGCTAACAATTTGGGGCTAGCAGTCATAAGGGCAAATCCTGGTCTAAGGTTGTTATAACTGTGTTGTGTGTGTGGAAAGAAATACCCCTTTCCCAGTTAGTTTGCATGTGTGAACTTTCTAGTTGCAGGGAACAGTATTCCCTGTGACACCTAGTACTTGACTATAACCAGTCTTTCATAACACTTAGTGTTCGGGTATTAACCAATCCTTTGCCTGTGGGACCTGGGAGGCAAGGGTCTAATGCTGTAACACGGTACATTTGTGGTCCCTCTCCTTGCAGAGTTTGCAAAGTTGCAAGTTTGGATTCATCTGGTGTAGTGTGAAATTTTGCTGGTTATTGTGTAAAACTTATAATTGTTACAAACTGGTAATTTTTGTTTTGTGTCAGCTGTGTTGTTAAGCTGTACATTAAGCTTGAGCCTGAGTTGAAAGGGTTAAGCAACCCTTTTAGAAGGGTTTTATCTTGAACCAGTGTTTGTGGGCTGTTAGAGCTGTAACAAAGACAGCTTGTTAAAAGTTGATTCCTGGGATTTGAGGCACATGGGGGGGTTGTGTGGTTTTCCCCACCGCACTGTAGTAATTTGATTCTTGGGACTGTATGGTTGTGTTTGTGGAGATTTTAAGATTTTGTTTGCAACAAATGCAGCATTTTATGTGGAAAAGACTACAGTGTGGGGATTTATGTATGTTTAAAACAAATTAAAAGAATTCCAGGAATTTCTGCTCCCCAATTTGTGTTTGTGGACATATCAGAGTTTTTGCTATAACAGGGACAGCCTTTTCATTTGTTTTAATCGTGGCTAGACAGATTAAAGGAGTCCCTTTACCTGGGAAGTTTGGATTTGATCTTTTGGAATTTGTGCAAGACGATATTATTTTTATTCTGCAAGGCAGCAAAGTAAGTGTGCCCTGTATCAGTAGAAATAACACTTTAATCGAGCTGATTTTGAACCAGAGATTTTAAAGTTAGTATGTTCAAAGTCACACTTAGTACTTGAAGATTGGATTGTGCAGGAAAAAACTAGAAAAAGACTGTAAAATTTTGTGAAACAAAGTTTAGGTAGAGTGAGTAAAAATAAGTAACTGAGGTGTCCTATAAATAAAATTAGAAATCAGAGGAGACCAAATTTGGTAGAGGTTGCTTGTCTGAAGGGCTGCCCTTGTGAACCCTGAGTTTGTTTTCACTGTATTTGGTGTAAAAAGTTGTAGTATAAATAGACATTTAGGAAGAGAAGGCCAAGACAGGCACTTTGTCATTTTAAAGAAACAAAGGCTACTCAGAGAGCTATAAAGATTTTGGTTGCAACTGGTCGTGAGGAGAAAGGAAATAACAAGTTGTTTGAGAAAAATGGAAACTAAGAAAATAGAATTTTTAGTAGACTATTACAGCGACTTGAGGAGGTCGCTGGGGTGAGAGATAGATGAGAATCTTGTTTCTTGATCAGAAGGCTGGATTTATTGATATATGATATATAATACATTATAACTATACTAAATAGAATAAAGAGAGAAGTTGCAGAGGCTTGCTAAGCTAAGAATAGAATAGAATCTATAACAAAGTTGTGTCCAGGGACTCTGTCCCCAGCTTGCTCCTGTGATTGGCCCTTAATTATAAACACATGGAACATGAACCAATCACAGGTGCACCCTATTGCATTTCACAGCAGCTGATAATAATTGTTTACATTCTTCTTCTGGGGCCTTTGCTTCCCAGAAGATGAACAAATCTGAAAGAAAGGATTTCTGTGAAAAAATGTCTGCGACATCTCACCTTTCTAAATTCTATAAATTAAAAAGAAAAATGCTGATGTGACATGAACAGGAAATTTCTTCACCTGTAAAATATACAATACTAACAAATCACTAAAACAATCCTACAATCTAAGAAAATGCAAAAACAATGCAAAGAAAATTCAAGTCCAAGCAGCTGAGTTTCAGAAACAGTCCAAGAGCTGAAGTTGTTTCCCTTGGAATATCTGAGAGTCCTTTTTGGTCCTGAAAACAAACTTGCTGCAAAAGAGTCCCATCAATAGTTATCACAAACCATTGACAGTCTTAACACAATTTCAAACAATTTCAAACAATTTGAACAATTTTGGAATGTCCTTTTCTGGCCCTTCAATGCTTCAGTGCTTCAGAGCTGCTGCCCGCTATTTTCAATCTTTTTTATTTAGTTTTAAATTTTTTTTTTTGATCGAAAAGGAAAAGAGCAGCAGCAGAGCAGTGCCAGAGAAGGAAAAGGCCCTGGGGGCCCTGGCCCATGATGGACCAGGAACCCCAAAACTGGCCCACAAAGGGGGACCGGGACCGGTAGGAGAAACCACAACTCCCAGAAACACCAAGAGGCCAAATTCTGGCCCTGGCCCAAAAACTTCGTGAGCCCAACAGGCCAGGCCAAACCCATGAAACAGGCTCTGCATTCCCACAGGCCTGCACCCTGCTGCCAGCACAATGGCAGCACGGGTGGTGACACACTTCCTTTCCCCAAAACCACTGAGGCATGCCAGCAGCAGGGAAATAGAAGCCTTCCCCAGCAATCCCATCTGGGGTCTGGAGATGTTTGTTTCCCACAGCAAACCAGCTATGGTCTCCTCCAACTGTGCCCTCTCCCTCTGCACTGCAAACGCAGCAGGTGTATCTTCCATCCGCCCCATGGCATCATCCCCACCCCCTCCAGGCTGGGGACCAAAGGCAGAACTCTCGGGACCCACCTGCCCCATGCCACTAGGGCACAAGAGAGGTGGCAGAGATGGCAGCCTCCATGGGACAATCCCCGAAAAAACACCCCCCAACCCGCCGAGAATGCTGATCTTGAACGCAGGCAAATGCACTGCCCCCACAGTCAGCTGGCGAGCACTCCCCGCTCCACGGAAGGGGAGGCCAGCCACCGGGGCCGCTGCTGGGGCAGCCAGTCCAGGATGGTCCGAGCTCGAACAAGCCGCCGGTTCCAGGGCAGTCTCTGACTCCGACACGGAGGACTGAGTCTCCGACAGAGGCAGAACTGCTGGCGCAGCCTGTGCAGGCAGCGGGAGGGAAGCCGGAACCGGGGAGGGAATCACGCTGGATGTAGGAGCAGCCGCGGGCTTTTCCGAGTGTCCCGCGGGTTCGGCGCTGTCTCCAGCACCCTCCTGAACAGGGACCGTCTCGGCTTGAGGCGACGGGAAGGCCGATGGAAGCGGCGGAGGGGCCGAAGGGGCCAGAGAGATCTCCTCCGCTGAGCCGGAAGCTGGAGACGCGTTGTCGTCGCCTGGCAACAGCGACTCAGCCGCAAGAAGGGAAGCTGGTGAAGCCGCGGGCGGGGCCGCCTGGAGAGGCGGAGACAGGATCACCCGGAGAGGCAGCACTGGCAGGGGCGGGGAGGCCTCAGAGACCGGTGCCGCCCCCATCTCTGAACGGGGCGGAGTCCGAGAGGCCGGCTGGGGAAGCACCGTCCACTCCCATCCCCCCTGCGGGGGAGAAGGGGGGGAAAGAGAGCATTCCATCTGCGCAGGCTTGGGAGAAAGAGTAAAAAAAACTTCTTCGCGTGGCGAAGTTTCGCCCCCCCCCCCCCCCCCCACCGCAAAGCAGGGGGGGCCGGGAAGCCCCAACTCATCCGCCACGGGGTCTTCTCCCACTGGGGACAGTGGAAACGGAGCCTGCCCATAGCAGTTAGAAATCCATGGAAAAGTAGCTGCTCTCCTTTTCAAAACTGGGAAGAGCTTTATAAATGCTGGGTAGATAGAAGGCAAAAGACGTCCCTGACTGTAGACGAAATAAAAGGTGGAATTCATGTACTCCCAGACGAAAACATCCAAAGCATATAGGACATCAGTAAAGAACCCAAAAAGCTTTGCCCATCGAAAGAACTCATAGAGATCTGTTTTTTCCAAAAAAAATCCGTCCTCTCTACACCAGTTTTGCCAGAGGGCAATAAGTTTCTCCTCTGAAGGAGAAAAACGAACCTCTTCTTCCAGGGCATGTGTCTGCCACACGAACAGCCACAAACTACGAAGAGCTGAATCCTCAGGGATAGAAAAATCAATAGTACCTTTTGAAAGAGTCCAGCTTGCTCTGGCCAGCTCCACGGGTCTGCTGCTCTTGTCTATCATGTTTCCTGAAGGTTTTCCAGAAGAAGGTTCTCTTTGTGGTCAGCCTTGGCTGTGAACTCTGTCCAAATCAGGATCTTCAGTTCTTCAGCTCCTGGCTTGAATCCACTTCTGTGGTCACTTCAAAGCAACCATCACATGCTACACATACAGGATTTTACCCAGTGCAGCCATTTTGCTCCTCTGGTCTTATCAAATTAATTCCTGCTCTGACACAAGGGGTCACCAAATATTACAGCAACCTGAGGAGGTCGCTGGGGTGAGAAAAAGACGAGAATCTTGTTTCTTGATCAGAAGGCTGGATTTATTGATATATGATATATAATACATTATAACTATACTAAATAGAATAAAGAGAGAAGTTGCAGAGGCTTGCTAAGCTAAGAATAGAATAGAATCTATAACAAAGTTGTGTCCAGGGACTCTGTCCCCAGCTTGCTCCTGTGATTGGCCCTTAATTATAAACACATGGAACATGAACCAATCACAGGTGCACCCTATTGCATTTCACAGCAGCTGATAATAATTGTTTACATTCTTCTTCTGGGGCCTTTGCTTCCCAGAAGATGAACAAATCTGAAAGAAAGGATTTCTGTGAAAAAATGTCTGCGACAGTAGACATGAAGGCAACCAACTCAGTGTTAAATAAAGCCTTAACGTCTATAACAGATGATTATGTTATGGTAAGGGGAGCCGCTGGCCAATCTGAAAAAGCACATTTTTGCAAACCATCAAAATATAAACTTGGAAAACAAGTGGGGATTTATAGATTTGTGTAGCAGTTAAAAGCAAAAGATGGGAAGATTATTTTGGAGGCAAAGGATCAACAATGTGTAGACATAGCTTAATGTTAATGAAATTACCAAGAAAATAATGGATCGGGTACCTCCTAAGGTGTGGGCTTCTAACATACCAGGGAGAGCAAAGAATGCACCCTCAGTGCAAGTTAAATTTAAAGAAGAAAAACACCCAGTTAGAGTTGGACAACATCCCTTAAAGAAGGAAGACAGAGAAGAGATTAGCCCAGTAATTGATTTTTTTTTTTTTTTTACAGCTAAGGCTATTAAAAGAGTGTCAGTCTGAGTTCAATACTCCTATTTTACCTGTTAAAAAGCCTGATGGATCATACTGAATAGTACAAGATTAAAGGGCTGGTAATAAGATAACTGAGGATTTATACCCAGTGGTTGCCAACCCCTGCACTTTGTTAACCTGTTTATAACCTGAATTAACCTAGTTTACCATTTTAGATTTGAAGGATGCTTTCTTTTGCTTCCCTCTCCATGAAGCCAGCCAGAAAATTTTTACCTTCGAATGGGAGAATCCCAAGAGTGGATGTAAGACTCAGCTCACATGGACGGTATTACTCCAAGGTTTAACAACAGCCCCAGGATATTTGGAGAACAACTTGCAAGAGATCTAGAGTCCTGGGAAGCTCCATCAGAGGAATAACAGCTGCTGCAGCATGTAGATGACCTCCGGATAACTACCTGAGCCCAAGAGGCATGTGTGGACTGGATGGTAAGCCTCCTTAACTTTTTGGGTTTACAAGAGTATAGAAAAAGGCTCGAGCAGTGAAGCAAATGGTCATCTACCTGAGTTATGAGGTCAGTGTTGGACAAAAGTCTCTAAGGCAAGACTGCAAGGAAGCAATATATCAAAACCCCAGACAAAAGGACTGTAAGTTTACAATTATGACCAATTAGTTAAACCCCTGTATACTCAGATCACAGAGGGAAACCGAGATCTCCAATGGAAAAAAGAAGCTACATCTGCCTTTGACCAGCTAAAGAAGGCCCTCGTGTCAGCTCCAGCTTTAGGACTTCTGGATGTGAATAAACCACTTTTTCTGTTTTCTCATGAGAAGCAAGGGATTGCTCTGGGAATACTAGCACAAGACTTAGGCCTGTATCAGAGGGCAGTTGCCTACTTTTCCAAGCAATTGGATGCGGCAGCTAAAAGATGGCCAGGGTGTCTCAGAGCCGATGCAGCAGTGGTGCTGAACATCCAGGAAGCACGCAAATTCACCCTGGGCCAGAAGATGACTGTGCTAGTGTCCCACACGGTGTCAGCAGTGCTGGAAGTAAAGGGGGGACATTGGCTCTCCCCACAGAGGTTCCTGAAGTACCAAGCCATAATGGTAGAACAAGATGATGTAGAAATTGTGGTAACTAATATTGTGAACTCAGCTTCCTTTCTCAATGGCAGTATGGGAAAACTGGTGAGCCATGATTGCCTGGAGACCATCGAAGCTATTTACTCCAGTCACCCAGATCTGAAGGACACCCCTCTCGAGGACACTGAGACCTGGTTTACTGATGGAAGCAGCTATGTGATCAGCAGAAAAAGACATGCTAGGTATGCAGTTACCACCTGCAGAGAGGTAATCGAGTCTGGACCACTGCCAAGAAACACCTCTGTGCAAAAGGCCAAAATAATTGTCTGGACCCATGCCTTAGAATTAAAAGAAATCAACATTTATATGGACTCAAGGTATGCATTTGGGGTTGTGCATGCACAGAGCGATCAAGCCATAGCAGAAAGCGAGCTTTGAATTGGAAGAAGGGAATGAGCTGGCGAACAAAGGCAAAAGGAGCAGCTAAAGATGAGGTAATTGTTAAAACAGTTAAGGCAGCCTTAATTCCAGATGGGCAGATTTCTACTGAAGTTAAATCAAGGTACAGTTAAAAAGAAAAGAGGCTTATTAAGAAAACAGAAGGGTTAATCAAGAGGGGTGGCCTATTGCAGATAAAGAGATCCCCTCTTATATGCTATAGCCATTAGTGAAAAGGGAATATAAGAAAGCACGTTGGGGAATAGATGCTTTGTATAATTATTTGAAAGATAGAATCATAACCAGAAACTTGCAAAGTACATTGATTCAGGTGACTCACCAATGTAGCCTTTGCCTCCAAACTAATCCCAAAAATATTCCTAAACCAAAGCTTGGGCAAACTGGGAGAGGATTTGGACCTGGGCAACAATGCCAAATTGATTTTTCAGAACTGCCCAGGAGAGGGGGGTATCGATACCTATTGGTGCTAACAGATACCTTTTCAGGGTGGCCAGAAGCTTTCCCTACGAGAACTGCCAAAGCGCGGGAGGTAACCAAAGCATTGTTACAAGAAATAATACCGTGTTTTGGAGTCCCAGCCACAATGTCTTCAGACAGGGAGCTGTTGGAATGTTGGGGGCCACAAGACAGATGATGGACATTGGACCTGGTTAACATAAGATATTTGATAACAGGATGCCTTGGCAATAGCAAACAGAACTTTGAAAATTAGACCTAAATAGCAAGAAGATGAAATCAAACTGGTTTACTGGAAAAAAAAAATCCTATTAAACTGTGCAAGCAAGAGATGTTGTTATATGCATAAGTTTGTGTGTGTGATTCTAACCTAATAATTGTGTTATGAGTAAAAAGAGGTTACCCATTTTTTTTGTAAAAAAGTTGCAAAGTGAACAGGTTGGACCAGTTGCTGCCAAGGTGGAGTTCTACTTGTTTGTTATTGTAATCACCAGTCATTTTCGTTAACTACTCCTTTTGTATCAGGACCATCCTGCCTAAAAGCCAGGTTGATAGCTGTGGAGGAATGGCTACATGACAGAGGTCATGTAGACATTCGCTTGTTAGCCAACCAAAGGCTGGGAAAGTACGGAGCTCAGCTAGTCTGAGTTCTTGCACCTGCAAGATATCGTGTCCTTGGGCATAGCTGGGTATGATAACAAGTAGACAGAGAGACATGGGAAAAGGGAATGTGGGCCCGAAAGAATGAGGAAGAATTGATGGTATAGCATAACCAATAGGTGGCTTGGCTTGCAGAATATTCATGAGCTTATTACTTGTTGTGTATAAACGTTTGATGCTCTTTGCAATAAACGGAGCTTGCTGATCTCATATTGAGCGTCCAAGTTTTCCCTCACCGTGACAAATGGCTGCCCGACCAGGAGACGAGGCCCTATAGCTGATTTGAACCTGCGAGCCATGGTCTGGTGTAATATTTGGTGTCGGTCCCGACGCACCACGGGAGGCAACAAAGGGCGGGCTCTGCGCCCCCAGGCAACCTTACAGAGGAGTCCTGGACAGAAGGCGAAAGAGCGGGCTCTGGTTGCCCCGGTGACCCCACAGGGGAGTCTGGCTGACTGAATGCCGTCGACGTCTTGCAAGGGCTGCAGCAGCGCGCTGAGTATCAGGTTAGAAGGTAATGGAAAGACAAGCGGGTTACCATCTTTTTAAATGCTTTTTAGAAAAGCGTGGATTACAGGGTATAGATTTAGCGAAAGACCTCCTGGGGTTACTTGAATATGGAGTTGCAAACGGGTGTTTTATAGATCCTAGTCAGGTCTATGAAGAGGTAGAGTTGTTATGAACAAAAAGATCTGCCATTTTTTTTCTGTGAGGAAAAGGTTACCACTGTTGCTGTTAGGCTGCTGCTTGTGTTATGGTAATTACGGGTCTCAGTAAAAGCCCTGGCTGGGGCGAGTTAATGGCCCTTTTCTGAGACAGTGAAGGGTGGGGTACCTC